AAACTTTTCTATAGAAAAGGCTCTAACTATAGACAACTTTTCTCTAGAAAAGTTGCTCTAACTAAAGACAACTTTTCTCTATAAAAGTTGCTCTAACTATAGACAACTTTTCTATAGAAAAGTTTCTCTAACTATAGAAAAGTTTTCTATAGGAAAGTTGCTCTAACTGTAGACAACTCTTCGATATAAAAGTTGCTTTAACTATAGACAACTTTACTATAGAAAAGTTGCTTTAACTTTAGACAAATTTTCTATAGAAAAGTTGCTCTAACTATAGACAACATTTCTATAGAAAAGTTGCTCTAACTATAGACAACTTTTCTATAGAAAACTTGCTCTAGCTATAGACAAAAGTTGCTCTATATATAAATAAGTTTTCTAAATAAACAACTCTTCTATATAAAAGTTGCTTTAACTATAGACAACTTTTGTATAGAAAAGTTGCTTTAACTTTAGACAACTTTTCTATAGAAAAGTTGGTCTAACTATAAACAACTTTTCTATAGAAAAGTTGCTCTAACTATAGACAACTTTTCTCTAGAAAAGTTGCTCTATATATAGACAACTATTCTCTAGAAAAGTTGCTCTAAATATAGACAACTTTTCTATAGGAGAGTTGCTCTTCATATAAACAACTTTTCTATAGAAAAGTTGCTGTAACTATAGACAACTTTTCTATAGAAAAGTTGCTCTAACTATAGACAACTTTTCTATATACATAAAAGTTGCTCTATATATAGACAACTTTTCTATAGAAAAGTTGCTCTAACTATAGACAACTTTTCTATATAAAAGTTGCTCCTTATATAGACAACTTTTCTATATAAAAGTTGCTCCTTATATAGACAACTTTTCTATATAAAAGTTGCTCCTTATATAGACAACTTTTCTATATAAAAGTTGCTATATATATAGACAACTTTTCTATATAAAAGTTGCTCTATATATAGACAACTTTTCTATATAAAAGTTGCTCTATATATAGACAACTTTTCTATATAAAAGTTGCTCTATATATAGACAACTTTTCTGTATAAAAGTTGGTGTATATATCGACAACTTTTCTATATAAAAGTTGCTGTATATATAGACAACTTTTCTATATAAAAGTTGCTCTCTATATATATACAACTTTTCTATATAAAAGTTGTTCTCTATATATAGAAAACTTTTCTATATAAAAGTTGCTCTCTATATATAGACAACTTTTCTATATAAAAGTTGCTCCATATATAGACAACTTTTCTAAAGAAGAGTTTCTTAACTTTGGACTACTTTTCTAAAGAATAGTTGTTGCAATTATAGACAATTTATCTATAAAGAAATATCTCCAGTCAGTATTAGTAATTTGCTAAAGTTATAATCTGATCTCTTTTTGCCCTAAAGGGTTAATCTGATAGTAGCCACTACTGTTTTTTTTTTTTTTTTTTCTTTTATTTTCTTAAATTTATATTCACATGTTGTACCTTTGCATTATTCACATGTTTGACGACGACTACACACCTCTAAGGCCGAATTAGGTCTGTCTTTATTATTCTGTTTAATTGTCTAAAGATATTTTTTTTTAAGTAGAAAATTTATTGTTATTTCGTTTTGTTTAAAGTTGTTGTTTTTTTTTTTTCGTTTCTTCTTCTCTCGATTGTAAACAATCAATAAATTAATAGAACAACAAAAAAAGTTTAAGCTTTTTTGTTTAAAATTCAGGCCGTTAGTTTTATTTTTAAAGTTTATTTGAAAAGATTTAAAAAAAAAACATAAAATGTTAAGGGAAATTTAGAGCAAAACTGAAGAAGTTATATTAGTTTAAATGGAAGAATTTTTTGTATTTTATAACATTTTCCATATTTAGTCTTGACGAAAACAAAAGACTTAAGCAGCAAACTTTAAACAAGTAACACAAAAAAAAAACGTTCGTTCTTAAGCAGAATTTTTGTGCAAATCTTGAAAAATGTTTTATAATATTGATAAATAAGTTATTTTTAACTACTCTTTGTACTTTTTAAATACTGAACAAATTGTTTTGAATCCTCTTAAAAGTAAAAAAAACTACAACTTTATGATCGATCATAAAAATTTTACGAAAAACAAACCACACAAAATATAATACTGAAACAACAAAATTGATCATCATCAAGATGCATTAAAACAAAATACAACAACACATATTTGAACCTGAACTTGCCACAATTTAAGATACTGGTTTTAAAATACAATTTTTTTTTTGTTTCTTATAAATACAACAACAACAAAACACAATGCAAAGTATTAGCTGCTTATGTTGGTAATAATAAAAGCAAGTGTGTTTGTGTTGGTGTGTTTTAGTATCTATGTATAAGTTTGATTAAAAGTTGCAACTTGGTATTTTCTTAACATTAAACAATTTTTATTGGGATGCTGCTGTTGCACGATGTTTACTTGTAAAATGAAGAGAAAAAAAAACTATACAAGAAAACATGGAGAAAAATAAAGCTTATTTCCAAGAACCACAAAAATATACACAGATCCAAAACATATATACATACATACATATATACCAACTTACATGTGTAAGGGGACAGACAGACAGACATACAAACATTGGATTCATGACTAAAGATATATTACTCACACTCAAGAGATATTGTATACAGAGAGAAGAAAGGTAGAAGAGTTGCCATTTTCTATATATATATAAAACTTGCTTCAATAAACACAATGTTTCTATAGAAAAGTTGCAGCAACTTTAGTAAATATTTCTCTAGAAAGTAATTTCTAGTATAGACAACTTCTCTAAAGGAAAGTAGCTCTATATTTAAAAACATTTTCTAAAGGAAATTTGCTCTAACTATAGACAACTTTTCTATGCAAATGTTGCTCTAACTATAGACAACTTTTCTATACAAAAGTTGCTCTAACTATGGACACATTTTCTATAGAAAAATTACTCTGACGATAGACAACTTTTCTATAGAAAAGTTGCTTTAACTATAGACAACTTTTCGAAAGAAAAGTTGCTTTCACTATAGACAACTTTTCTATAGAAAAGTTTCTACAGAAAAGTTGTTCTAACTATAGACAACTTTTCTATACAAAAGTTGCTCTAACTATAGACAACTTTTCTATTCAAAAGTTGTTCTAACTATAGACATATTTTCTATAGAAAAGTTGCTCTAACTATAGACAACTTTCCTATTCAAAAGTTGTTCTAACTATAGACATATTTACTATAGAAAAGTTGCTCTGACGATAGACAACTTTTGTTTTAACTATAAACAACTTTTGTATAGAAAAGTTGCTCTAATTATAAAGAACTTTTCTAAAGAAAAGTTGCTTTAACTATAGACAATTTTCTATAGAAAAGTTGCTCTAACTATAGACAACTTCTCTATATAAAAGTTGCTCAAATTAAAGACAACTTTTCTATACAAAAGTTGCTCTAACAATAGACAACTTTTCTATAGAAAAGTTGCTTTAACTATAGACAACTTTTCTACACAAAAAATGCTCTATCTACAGACAACTTCTCTATAGAAAATTCGCTCCAACTATAGACAACTTTTTTATAGGAAAGTTGCCGAAACTTTAGAGAAAGTTTCTAAAGAAAAGTTGCTCTAACTATAGACATCTTTTCTATAGAAAAGTTGCTCAAACTATAGACATCTTTTCTATAGAAAAGTTGCTCAAACTATAGACAACTTTTCTATATAAAAGTTGCTCCATCTATAGACAACTTTTCTATAGAAGAATTGCTCAAACTATAGACATCTTTACTATAGAAAAGTTGCTCAAACTATAGACAACTTTTTTATAGGAAAATTGCCGAAACTTTAAAGAAAGTTTCTAAAGAAAAGTTTCTCTAACTATAGACAACTTTTCTATTCAAAAGTTGTTCTAACTATAGACATATTTTCTATAGAAAAGTTTCTCTGACGATAGACAACTTTTCTATAGAAAAGTTGCTTTAACTATAAAACTTTTGTATAGAAAAGTTGCTCTAACTATAGACAACTTTTCTATAGACAACTTTTCTATAGAAAAGTTGCTCAAACTATAGACATCTTTTCTAAAGAAAAGTTGCTATAACTGTAGACAACTTTTTTATAGGGAAATTGCCGAAACCTTAAAAAAAGTTTCTAAAGAAAAGTTGCTCTAACTATAGACAACTTTTCTAAAGAAAAAGTGGTTCTAACTATAGACAACTTTTCTATATAAAGGTGTCTCTAACTGTAGACAACTTCTATATAAAAAAGTTAGTCTTACTATAGACAACGTTTCTATAGAAAAGTTACTCTAACTATAGACAACTTTTCTATAGAAAAGTGGCTCTAACTGTAGACAACTTCTATATAGAAAAGTTACTCTAACTATAGACAACGTTTCTATAGAAAAGTTACTCTAACTGTGGTCAACTTTTCTATAGACGACTTTTCTATAGAAATGTTGCTCTAACTATAGACAACTTTTCTATACAAAAGTTGCTCTATCTGCAGCCAACTTTTCTATACAAAAGTTGCTCTATCTGCAGACAACTTTTCTATACAAAAGTTTCTCCATCTATAGACAACTTTTTTTTATAGAAAAGTTGCCCCAACTTTAGACAAGTTTTCTTCATAAAATTAGTCTCTATCGTAGACAAGATTTCCATAGAAAAGTTGCTGCAACTTTCTAACACATTTTTATATTATAGACAACTTTTCTATTGAAAAATTCCAACGTCTACAGACACTTTTTCTATAGAAAAAATCAGAACACTTAAGATAAAAACCCTTAAAAACACTTCAAATTAAGACAATTTTTTTCAATATTTAAAAAATTCAAAATCGTTAAATAAAAAACTTTCTTTTGGCAGCTCTGTCTTGACCATAATAACCATAATAAATAAAGGAATTTTATTGTATAGATTTTTACAGCTTCTTTATTTAATTGACTTTATTATATTTTTTTCTTTTTCATTTATTTTCAATTTTTTCGAATTTTTTTTTTTATTTATAACTTTTGCTGGTTTGATTGAGGTCACTTACTTTGGTTGTTAATCTACTCGAGCACCGGTATTCCATTGTATTGTGAGTTATTTTATTAAAGATACTTTTTTAAAAAACAATTAAATTGTTAAATTTTTTAATTTACTTTGTGATTTATTAGATATTTTAATATAAATTAAAATAATATATTTTTCAAATTATTTTATAAAACTTTTACGTATATTTCTTTTTTATTAAATTAATTTTTAATTAAAAATCTTTTTAGTTTTCTTTACTTAGTTGATGTTTTTTAAATATATTTTTGGTAATATTTTATATAACTTTTTTTCTTAAATTTTTTCTTAACTCCCGTAATGTTTATTTTTTTTGTTGTTAAAAGTTCCACCAATTTTTTTTTTCTTTTATTAAAAAAATAAACCGTTTTACTCGAGAGTTCACCTTAGACTGGCCATCCAAATATTACTAACCATTCCTTTAGCACTTGGGGCTTAAAGAAAATATATAAATGAAACAAAAAACTATATGTATAAAAAACATGTTGTTAATACTACAACAAAACTTCTTTGGCTTTTTGTCTTCTTAACACTTCTCTTTAACTCTTTTTTGATTTCTTTTCTCGCACGTTTTCTTTTTTTGTCTTTTCTTTTTCAGCTTTTCGTTTCTCTTTTGTTTGCTTTCTTTCACATTTAGTTTTGTTTGATCTTCACTTGCCACACATAATTTAATTTGTTGTTATTGTTGTGGTGTTTGTCGTTTAAGCCAAGTTTGAAAAAATACACTGAAGAAATTTTTAAGGGAAATTTGATCTCTTAGTTACTTAGTTGAAGCAACTTTTCTATGGAAAAGTTGTCTATAGTTGAAGCAAGTTTTATATACAAAAGTTGTCTATAGTTGAAGCAAGTTTTCTATAGAAAAGTTGTTTATAGTTGAAGCAACTTTTCTATAGGAAAGTTGGCTATAGTTGAAGCAACTTTTCTATAGAAAAGTTGTCTATAGATAGAGCAGCTTTTCTATGGAAAAGTTGTCTATAGATAGAGCAACTTTTCTACAGTTGTCTATAGATAGAGCAACTTTTCTATAGAAAACGTGTCTATAGATAGAGCAACTTTTCTACAGAAAAGTTGGCTATAGATGGAGCAACTTCTCTATAGAAATGTTGTCTATAGATAGAGCAACTTTTCTATAGAAGTTGTCTATAGATAGAGCAACATTTTTATAAGAAAGTTGTCAATAGATAGATTAACTTTATTATAGAAAATATGTCTATAAATAGAGCAACTTTCTATAGAAAAATTGTATATAGATAGAACAACTCTTGTCTTTAAAAATAGAGCAACTTTTCTATAGAAAAGTTTTCTATAGATAGAGCAACTTGTCTATAAATAGAGCAACTTTTCTATGGAAAAGTTGTCCATAAATAGAGCAACTTTTCTATGGAAAAGTTGTCTATACATAGAGCTACTTTTCTACAGAAAAGTTGTCTATAGATAGAACTACTTTTCTATAGAAAAATTGTCTATAGATAGAGCAACTTTTCTATAGAAAAGTTGTCTATAGATAGAGCAACTTTTCCATAGAAAAGTTGTCTATAGATAGAGCAACTTTTGAATAGAATAGAGCTACTTTTCTATAGAAAAGTTGTCTATAGATAGAGCAACTTTTCTATAAAAAAGTTGTCTATAGATAGAGGAACTTTTCTATGGAAAAGTTGTCTATAGATAGAGCAATTTTCTATAGAAAAGTTGTCTATAGATAGAGCAACTTTTCTATAGAAAAGTTGTCTATAGATAGAGCAACTTTTCTATAGAAAAGTTGTCTATAGATAGAGCAACTTTTCTATAAAAAAGTTGTCTATAGATAGAGCAACTTTTGTATAGAAAAGTTGCCTATAGATAGAGCAACTTTTCTATAAAAAAAGTTGTCTATAGATAGAGCAACTTTTGTATAGAAAAGTTGTCTATATATAAAGCAACTTTTCTGTAGAAAAGTTGTCTATATATAAAGCAACTTTTCTGCTCTATCTATAGACAACTTTTCTATAGAAAATTTGTCTATAGAGAAAGCAACTTTTGTATAGAAAAGTTGTCTATATATAAAGCAACTTTTGTATAGAAAAGTTGTCTATATATAAAGCAACTTTTCTATAGAAAAGTTGTCTATATATAAAGCAACTTTTCTATAGAAAAGTTGTCTATAAATAAAGCAACTTTTCTATAGAAAAGTTGTCTATAAATAAAGCAACTTTTCTATAGAAAAGTTGTCTATAAATAAAGCAACTTTTCTATAGAAAAGTTGTCTATAAATAAAGCAACTTTTTTATAGAAAAGTTGTCTATAAATAAAGCAACTTTTCTATAGAAAAGTTGTCTATAAATAGAGCAACTTTTCTATAGAAAAGTTGTCTATAAATATAGCAACTTTTCTATAGAAAAGTTGTCTAAAGGTAGAGCAACTATTTTATAGAAAAGTTGTCTATAGATAGAGCAACTTTTTAAAAGAAAATTTGTCTATAGATAGAGCAACTTTTCTATAGAAAATTTGTTTATAGAGAAAGCAACTTGTGTATAGAAAAGTTGTCTATATATAAAACAACTTTTCTGTAGAAAAGTTGTCTATATATAAAGCAACTTTTCTATAGAAAAATTGTCTATAATTGCAGCAAATTTTCTATAGAAAACATGTCTGTATTTGAAGCAACTAGAAGTTGAAGCAATTTTAAACTGTTGTCTTTAGAAAATCATGTTTTTTACACTCTTTTATCTCTATCACTTCAACATTTCCCTCGGGCTACGTAACACTACCGATTATAGGTCATTTGTGGGGAAAAAAATTTAAAAAGTTAATAACTTTTGTCAACACTTTAGCACGCAAAATACTATACGTATCTGTGATTTTTTTAATTCGTCTTCATTCTTGTGTTTTTAAAGTATATTTTTTTTTCAGTTATAAGTTAAACTTCATTCATTCTATTTATGTTAATTGTTAAGAACATTTTTTTGTTTATTTTTAAAATTATTATTAAGACGAGAGTAATAATAATAAAACGGCTTGAAAACATTAAGTACTTTTAGTAGACAATGTTTTAGTAAAGATTACATCACTTGCACATATGATAATTTTTTTTTTAAATGTGCAAAAAAAAAACTATTTTCAGTTTCTAATAGAAGCAATTGTCTTCCGGCTTGAGAAATATTTAAAAGAATTTTACTTTCCCATCGAAGAGTTAACAGTTTTCTAGAGAATTTCTTATTTGTGGGAAAGATACGCACGTAATTTCAAGGTGTATTCTTTTCTATAGAAAATTGTCTTATTTAATCATTTTCCTGTAGAAAAAGTTGTCTTCTTAGGAGTAATTTCTATAGAAAAATATATTTTTTGGACTCTTTTCTATAGAAAAGTGCTTCTTTGTATTACATTCTATATGAAAGTCTTTTTACTTCTTTTTTCTAAAGGATAAAGTTCTTCTGTAGAGTATTCTCTATATAAAATAGTCTTCTCTAGCTTATTTTCTATAAACAAGTTCTTCTATTCCATATAGAAATGTATTTTTTAGATGCATTTCTGTAGAAAGTTATTCTTTAGACTCTTTTCTATAGAAAAGAGTATTTTAAGTTTATTTCCTATAGAAAAATATACACTATTCTATATAAATGTAACTTCTTAAACAATTTTCTATAGAAAAGTTTTTTTTTTTCTTTTCTATAGAAAGGTTTCTTCTTTAGACTATTTTCTATAGAAAAGTTCTTCTTTAAATTCTTCTCTATATAATAGTGCATTCTTTAGACTATTTTCTTTAGAAATTTTCTTCTTTATACTCTTTTTTTATAGGAAAGTGTCTCCTTTACACTCGTTACTATAGAACATTTAATCTTCAGACTCTTTTCTATAGAAGAGTGTCTTCTTACACTATTTTCTATAGAAAAGGTTTTCTTCAGACTGCTCTCCGTATATAAGTCTATTCTTTAGACTATTTTTCTATAGAAACGTTCTTTTTACTCTTCTATAAGTTTTGTTTTAATTCTTCAATAGAAATGTGTTTTCTTTACATTCTTCTTTATATAAAAGTGTCTTTTTTAGGCTCTTCTTTATAGAAATGTAGTCTATTTACTAAAAAAAAACGTCTTCTTAAGACTCTTTTCTATAGAAAAGTGTCTTCTTTAGACTATTTTCTATATAAAAGTGTCTTCTTTAGACTCTTCGCTATAGAAAAGTGTCTTTTTTAGACTCTTTTCTAGAATAGTATCTTCTTTAGACAATTTTCTATAGAAAAGTGTCTAGTTTAAACTCTTTTCTATAGAAAAGTGTCTAGTTTAGACTCTTTTCTATAGAAAAGTGTCTTCTTTACACTCTACTCCATAGAAAAGTGTCTTTTTAGACTCTTTTCTGCAGAAACGTGTCTTTCTTAGACTTTTTTCTATAGAAAAGTGTCTTCTTTAGACTCTTTTCTATAGAAAAGTGTCTTCTTTAGACTCTATAGAAAAGACTCTATAGAAAAGTGTCGTCTTTAGACCATTTGCTATAGAAAAGTATCTTCTTTAAACTCTTTTATATAGAAAAGTGTCTTCTTTAAACTCTTTTCTATAGATAAGTGTCTTATTTAGAGTCTTTTCTATAGAAAAGTGTCTTCTTTACACTCTTTTCTATAGAAAAGTGTCTTCTTTAGACTCTTTTTTATAGAAAAGTGTCTTTTTTAAACTCTTTTCTATATAAAAGTGTCTTCTATAGACTTTTTTCTATAGAAAAGACTTTTTCATAAAAAAACTATTTTCTATAAAATATGTCTTCTTTAGACTCTTTTCTATAGAAAAGTGTCTTCTTTAGACTCTTTTCTATAGCTAAGTGTCTTCTTTAGGCTCTTTTCTATAGAAAAGTGTCTTCTTTAGGCTCTTTTTTATAGAAAAGTGTCTTACTTAGACTCTTTTCTATAGAAAAGTGCCTTCTTTAGACTCTGCTATAGATAAGTGTCTTATTTAGATTCTTTTCTATAGAAAAGTGTCTTTTTTAAACTTTAGACTCTTTTATATAGAAAAGACTTTTTCATAGAAGAACTATTTTCTATAAAACATGTCTTCTTTAGACTCTTTTCTATAGAAAAGTATCTTCTTTAGACTCTTTTTTATAGAAAAGTGTCTTCTTTAGGCTCTTTTCTATAGAAAAGTGTCTTACTTAGACTCTTTTCTATAGGAAAATTTCTTTTTAGACTCTTTTATAGAAAAGTGTGTTTTTTACACTCTTTTCTATAGAAAAGTCTAGAGAAGACACATTTCTATAGAAAATAGTCTAGAGAAGATACTTTTGTCTACTCTTGGCTTCAGAAAAGTTATTCTCTTTTAATA